CGCTGTGTGAAGACACAACATCTGTCCCTTTTTCCCTTCCATCTCTTCTACTCTTTGAAAACATGGCATTTGTCCCCTCTGCAGGATGCAGCAACGAGGCGCCATCTTGGAAGCAGAAAGCGAGGCCTTGCCGGACACGGAATCTGCTAGCACCGAGATCTTGGACTTCCCAGGTTCCAGAACTGTAAGCAATAAGTTTCTATTATTTAAAAATTATCTAAGTCTAAGGTATTTTGTCATAGCAGCAGAAATGGACTAAGGCATGACATATTTTGGGAAAATGGTTTTGTCTAGTGCTTTGCGGAAAGAAAGGAAGCAAAGGAGAGAGGAAGGGGGAGAGAGAAGGGGGGTGTGAAAGGGAGGCCGAGAGAGGGAGAAAAAGAGGAAGGAGGGAACGAAGGGAGGGAGGAAAGAAGGAAGGGAGGAAGGAGGGAAGGAGGGAAGGAGGGAGGGAAGGAGGGAAGGAAGGAGGGAAGGAAGGAGGGAAGCAAGGAGGGAAGGAAGGGAGGCAGGAAAGGAGGAAGGAGAGGGAGCAGGGGAGGGAGGGAAGGAAGGCTTTTACCAGCACAAAAGAAAACTATAAAAGATGGCCTTATGTTTGTACTGAAAAGACTAACTTGATAACTTGATATTTGGTCAAAATAGTGTTTATGTTCTGTTGACGCCCTGACATATTTTATGTATTACAGTTAAAATATATTTCTTTAAGTGTTCATAAGGTGAGGAGCCCGGGGAAACAAAGGAAAAGAATAAAGTGCAAGGGTCTACTGTATTTTCATTAAAGAAACCCTGATTCAATTTATTTCAGCCTTATGTTATCTTTTTCCATCTTCCAATTGACTGAATTAGTTAGTAACTTAATTCTTGAGTACTCTTGATATGCAGGAAAGAACGAGAGCCTAAATAATGTATATATTTTAAATCCTTAGGTAAGGATATAATTCTCTTGCCACTCTGTAAATACCAAGACCCTTATTTTTAAAATGTAACACCAAATTCCCTGACTGGGAAAAAACATAATGATCCATTGTATTATCATTGTATTTTTTATTCTGGGTCCTAAATCATTCAATGGGATAAAACAAAATGCCCTATTTATGTTAAATATTGATCTATTAAAGTATATATTTTAAAAACTAGAGGACTTGTTCAGTTCTTACCATCACTTTCAATTTTCTGCCTTTAAAAATTGGGAGAGTCTGGGTGTGGTGACGCATACCTGTAATCCCAGCACTATGGGAGGCTGAGGTGGAAGGATCGCTTGAGCTCAGGAATTTGAGACTAGCCTGGGCAACATAGTGAGACCTCGTCTCTACTAAAAATAAAAATTTTTAAAAATGGGGGAAATTATTTAATGTAATATAGTACCATTTTTATACATGGTCTGGTTAGATTTAAAGGGAAATGTCCTAAACAAGACATTGTTTAGGTAGACTCCACTAAATCCAATTATTATTATTTTTTAATCAGAAAGCAAGAAATTTAAAATTAGCCAGGTGAGGTGGCTGGCGCCTGTAATCCCAGCTACTCGGGAGTCTGAGGCAGGAGAATCACTTGAACCCAGGAGATGAAGGTTGCAGTGAGCAAAGATCATGTCGTTGCACTTCGGCCTGGGCAGCGAGAGTGAAACTCAGACTCAAAAAGAAAAAAAAAAATAGAAAAGAAAGAAAGAAAGAATTTTAACTACCAGTCTGAAATGGTTTTTCTTGAGTAACTTCTGGTATAGCATTTTGAACTTCCATTAAAATATGGTACACAACAACAGAAAGAAAAAAAAAAAAAACAGTACCACCAGGAAAATCTAGTATTGGGGATAATTTCAATTTAATATAAGTTCAAGAGAATTGCAAACAAAATGAGCCTGACTAACTGAAGAGAATAAGGGAAGACTGTCTTCCTGCTCCAGTATTATTTTCCAGGTCTGATATACAAGACCTGGGCCATGGAGAAGACTGAGCAGCTGCTCCCGTTCTGCATGTGTGGACTTTCGAGACACTCATGATGCTATCAGTCTTTCCTCGCCTTCACTGCACCTCTTCAACCAGCTCCTCTCTTTCAAAATTCATTTGGAGGCTGCAGTCGCCATAAAATAAACTGATCAGAAAAGTCAGTGGAGGTCTGGAAGTAATGCTTTTAGTTCTAAAAAATTAGTCTGCCCAGATTCAATCAAAGACAAAACATCTTATACAGCAACAGCTCAGCCCACGCTCCTCACTCCACACTGTCTACCTAATATTGCTCTCTTTGCATGTCCTGCTGACATAGTGAGTCCAGAGTGGACTCACAATCTTCCTCCTAGAATACACATGCTCTCTCCCAACAAAAGGCAATGTCACTCACCCAGTTAATTAACCTACAGGTTGCTGGTGGTTCTTACTCCTCCTTCTCCCTCATTCATATCCAAGTCTGTCATTTCTGCTTCTTATTCATTTGTCAAAAGCATTCATTACTTCCCATCACCACACCACTTCCAGCCTTCACCGTCTCTTCTTTTTAGGAGTAGTTGTGTGATGGTACCTCTTTTAAATTTTATTTTATTTTTTTGAGACAGGGTCTCACTCTGTCGCCCAGGCTGGAATACAGTGGTGCAATCTCAGTTCACTGCAACCTCTACCTCTGGGGTTCAAGAGATTCTCCTGCTTCAGCCTCCCAAGTAGCTGGGATTACAGGCATGCACCACTATGCCCAGATAATTTTTATATTTTTAGTAGAGACGAGGTTTCACCATGTTGGCCACGCTGGCCTCAAACGCCTGGCATCAAGGGATCACCCACCTTAGCTCCCAAAGTGCTGGGATTATAGGCGAGAGTCACTGTGATTACCTTTTTTTTTTTTTTTTTAAATTTTACTTTAAATTCTGGGATACATGTGCAGAATGTATAGGTTTCTTACATAGGTATACATGTGCGTTGGTGGTTTGCTGCACCTACCAACCCATCATCTAGGTTTCAAGCCCCACATGCATTAGGTATTTGTCCTAATGCTCTCCCTCCCCTTGACCCCTACCCACCGATGGGCCCCGGTGTGTGATGTTCCCCTCCCTGTGTCTATGTTTTCTCATTGCTCAACTCACACTTTTGAGTGAGAACATGCGGTGTTTGGTTTTCTGTTCCTGTGCTAGTTTGCTGAGGATCATGGCTTCTAGCTTCATCCATGTCCCTGCAAAAGACATGATCTCATTCTTTTTTATGGCTGCATAGTATTCCATGGTATATATGTACCACATTTTCTTTATCTAGTCTGTCATTGATGGGCATTTGGGTTGGTTCCAAGTCTTTGCTATTGTAAATAGTGCTGCCATAAACATACGAGTGCATGTGTCTTTACAGTACAGTGATTTATATTCCTCTGGGTGTACACCCAGTGATAGGATTGCTGGGTCAAATGGTATTTCTGGTCCTAGATCCTTGAGGAATCACCACACTGCCTTCCACAATGGTTGAACTAATGTATATTTCCACCAGCAGTGTAAAAGTGTTCCTATTTCTCCACAGCCTCGCCAGCATCTATTTCTTGACTTTTTAATAATTGCCATTCTGACTGACATGAGATGGTATCTCACTGTGGTTTTGGTTTGCATTTCTCTACTGATCAGTGATGATGAGCTTTTTTTCATATGTTTGTTGGCTGCATAAATGTCGTCTTTTGAGAAGTGTCTGTTCATATCCTTTGCCCACTTTTTGATGGGGTTGTTTGTTTTCTTCTTGTAAATTTATTTAAGTTCCTTGTAGAATCTGGATATTAGACCTTTGTCAGATGGGTAGATTGCAAAAATTTTCTCCCATTCTGTAGGTTGCCTGTTCACTCTGATGCTAGTTTCTTTTGCTGTGCAGAAGCTCTTTAGTTTAGTTAGATCCCATTTGTCAATTTTGGCTTTTGTTGCCATTGTTTTGGTGTTTTTGTCATGAAGTCTTTGCCCATGCCTATGTCCTGAATGACATTGCCTAGGTTTTCTTCTAGGGTTTTTATGGTTTTGGGTTTTACATTTAAGTCTTTAATCCATCTTGAGTTAATTATTATATAAGGTGTAACCATGGTTACTTTTGTGTGTCCACTTGCCTGGGCCACAGGGTGCACAGACATTTGGTCAAACAACTCTGGGTGTCTCTCTGAGGGTGATTCTGGGTGAGATTCATGTTTCAATAGGCATATTCACCAAAGCAGATTGCTCTCCCTCCTGTGAGTGGACCTCATCCAATCAGTTGAAGGCCTGAATAGAACAAAAAACCCAACCGTCTTGTGAGTAAGAGAGAATTCCTCCTGCCTGAATGCCCTAGATAGGACATGGGTCTTTTCCTGCATTAGGACTCAAACTGAAACCTCGACTCTTCTTGGATCTCAAGCCTACAGGCCTTTGGCCTGGAACTTACACCATTGGTTTTCCTGGTTCTTGGGCTTTGGGACTGAGACTGGAGCTACATGCTCAGCACTACTGTGTCTCCATCTTGTCAATTGCAGATCTCAGGACTTGCCAGCCCCTATAATCACACAAGCCAACTCCTTAGAAGAAATTTCTTTCTCTCTGTCTCTCTCTGTCTCTCTCTCTCTCTCTCTATATATATATATGTGTGTATATATATACACACACACACACACAGATGTATACATCCTATTGGTTCTGTTTCTCAGTAGAAAACTGACTAATACGAGTAACCCCCTAATCATCTCCTCAGGGTCACTGCCTCCCCTCCCTATCCCATTTTCCACAGAGCATCCAGGGTGATCTCAGACTACACATCTGATCATGGCACCACCCTGCCTAAAATCCTCTAAAGGCTTTTTATTCATCTTAGGAAAACACCCCAAATCCTCAACAAAGGCTGCATGGTCTGCCCAACGGGGCCCCTGCACTTGGCTTTAGCCACTGTAGGCTTCTTTTATTCAAATGCCCTATACTCTTTCCTGTCTCTGCAGCTTTGTACATTCCATTTCCCTGCCTGAAATAGTTTTTCTTCCACCGTTTATGATGCTAATTCTAATTCATCCTTTATTGCCTCCACTTGAGGAAATTTCCACAAGTTTCCCAACCTGCAATTCTAGAACAATGGTCCCGTTATATGTCACACCCTGCATTTCCTCCGTGACCATGCGTGTTGCTAAAGGTTACTTATGTAATGGTTTGTTCGATGTCTTTTCCACCACTGCTCCATACCCGTGCGGGCATCTGAATTGCACACAGGAAGCCCTCTAGCAATATTTGTTAACAAAAATGAATATGTTATTTGCAATAAACCTATATAAATATAGTTCGTTTGTTTTTTCTTTTGAGACGAAGTCTTGCACTGTCGCCCAGGCTGGAGTACAGTGGTGTGATCTCGGCTCATTGCAACCTCCGCCTCCTGGGTTCAAGCA